TATCAAAACTTAGTTTAAAATCGATGAAAATAACTGAAATTAATGAAAAATTAACAAATTTATATCACATTCTACGCGTATTAATAAAAGTTTTATTAAAAAATTAAATGTTGATTTAATTTTAGTAGTAATTGAAGAAATGATAAAAACTATTTGAAAATATTAACAATAAAAGTTTCAAATAATTGTAAAGAAAATTCTGAAATCTGAGAATGTTGAATTAGTAGGAATTGAAGAAATATGTAATTTAATTATTGCATTATTTATTTATTTTATACTTTAATTGAGTTTAAACAAGTTTTTTTTTACATATCAAAACTTAGTTTAAAATCGATGAAAATAACTGAAATTAATGAAAAAATATCAAATTTATATCACATTCTACGCGTATTAATGAAACTTTTATTAAAAAATTAAATGTTCATTTAACTTTAGTAGTAATTGAAGAAATGATAAAAACTATTTGAATATATTAATAATAAAAGTTTCAAATAATTGTAAAGAAAATTCTGAAATCTGAGAATGTTGAATTAGTAGGAATTGAAGAAATATGTAATTTAATTATTGCATTATTTATTTATTTTATACTTTAATTGAGTTTAAACAAGTTTTTTTTTACATATCAAAACTTAGTTTAAAATCGATGAAAATAACTGAAATTAATAAAAAATTATCAAATTTATATCACATATAAATTAACTTTTATTAAAAAATTAAATGTTGAATTAACTTTAGTAGTAATTGAAGAAATGATAAAAACTATTTGAAAATATTAATAATAAAAGTTTCAAATAATTGTAAAGAAAATTCTGAAATCTAAGAATGTTGAATTAGTAGGAATTGAAGAAATATGTAATTTAATTATTGCATTATTTATTTATTTTATACTTTAATTAAGTTTAAACAAGTTTCTTTTACATATCAAAACTTAGTTTAAAATCGATGAAAATAACTGAAATTAATGAAAAATTATCAAATTTATATCACATACTACGCGTATTAATGAAACTTTTATTAAAAAAATTAAATGTTGATTTAACTTTAGTAGTAATTGAAGAAATGATAAAAAAACTATTTGAAAATATTAATAATAAAAGTTT